GCAAAGATCGCCCTGCTTCTGCTTCATCCATTCTGTGGATCCCTACTTTCTTAGTGTCTCCTGCTGCCATTTGAACATCCCCCCCCTACCGGGGCGGACTGACAACTCATGGGGCCCCCGGGCAATAGGGGATCATGGGGCCCCTGTGTCCTTCCCAAACTCAAAAAAGCCTATGAAAAAGGTACCAAGGGCATCTCATGGGGCCCCCTACTGACCCCGGGCCCTCGGGCACTGCCCGAGTTTCCAAATGGTCAGTCTGCCCCTGCCCCCTACTAGTTATGGAATCGCCATTCATTAAAGTAGAACTATAGGCAAAACTTCTTTTTTCTCATTTTTGATAGAGCAAGGGAGGGTTAAAACCTGTCAGATTTTTTTTTTTTTTTTTGCAATCTGTGTCCAAATGCGAAGATTTCCCTTCACTTCCTATCCTATAGCCAAACAGGAAGTGAGAGGAAATCCCTGACAATTAAGGGAATTCCTTGGGGACCCCTCAGGTCACCAGAACTAGTGTCCCCAATTGGAAGATTTCCCCTCTATTACTTTTCTGGGGACAACTCAAAATTTGGGGTTTTCTTTTACTTTCATTTTTAATGGTAATGGTAAACAGGACAAATAGAGAGGGGGAGTCTCCCTAATGGGGCATAGGCAGCAAAAAAAAACTGTGTTATAATCCCTCTCCACTAGCAAAATCTAAAAAAAAGTTTTGCCCTATACTTTAACCTTTTCGCAGTCAGAGCTGTTTTTGCATTTTTTGCACACATGTTTAAAGAATCATTTTAGGCCTGAAGATTACACAAAACCCCCAAACATTATATATTTTCTGAAATCAGACACCCTAGAGAATAAAATGGTGGTAATTCCAATTTTTTTATGTCACAAGATATTACCGAAGAAATGCAAAATTTCAGTAAAAAAAAACACACTAGTGAATTTTAGGGCAAAAAAAAATGCAATAAATTGCCAAAATTTTGGTAAAATATAAAGGTGAGGTTGCACCAACTAAATGGATACCAAACATGTCAAACCTTATATTTGTGTGTGAAATGGCGACAAAATTCAGTACCCTAGATTTTCTATGGGCAACGCTTCAAATGACCCTACAGGTCCTCATTTTAGTATTCCGGAGGAGGTCTTGTGCTAGAATTATTGCTCTCACTCCAGCATGCGTGGCGATATGTAACGTGTATCACAATCAACGTTTTTGCGCCTAGGAGCCCTAACGAGTGCTTTTATGTTCATATGTGCATTTATGTGGGGGAGAGGGGCTCGAATTTTTTATTTTTTTTTGGTTGGGGATGTTCTGTGCTTGGGTGTAACTATTTTTTTGTATTAACATTTTTTTTTCTGCTTAACTTTTTTTTTTCATTACATAGGGGACACAAAGTCCCCTATGTGATGATGTTTAGATGACAGGTTCTCTTTAATGAGACATGCAGGGACTAAAAGACCCCCAAATGTCTTCTCTGGGCTCCAGTGAACGTATTGCAATGCAGATCGCATTGCAATACATCTTTCCCTGGCTATTCTAGCTGGGAAAATTGACAGCGGTGACCCGGAGGTGACATCATACACGTCACTTTCCGGGTCACAGCAAGAAGGGGAGGAGAGCGGAAGTGTCAGCAGAGAGGACCTGTCACAGTCAATGCTATCACAAGGGAAGAACAGCAATAAATGTGATTTTTAAAAAATATCGGTACAATGTAAAAATAAAACAAATTGAATAAATAATAAAATGTAAAAAATATTGTTAAAGCGCCCCCATGCTCACGCACAACGGAGAACACATGCGTTGGTCCTGCACAAATATGTAAATGGCGATCACACCACACATGTGAGGCATCACCGCAAATGTCAGAGCAAGAGCGATAGGGCCAGACCTCCTGCGTAACTAAACTGGTAACCTGTAAAGACTTTTAAAGTGTCACCTATGGCTAAATTTATGTAGAGTAGCTTGTCATCGTTCCATGGGCGGGCACAGTTTTAAAGCTTGACATGTTTGGTATTTATATACTTGCCGCAACATCATCTTTTATATTGTACCAAGAAATTGGGGATTATATTGTGTTTATGTTCACTAAAATTCATTAAAATGTGTGTTTAAACAAAAAAATTGCATTTGAATAACCGCTGCGCAAATATTGTGTGACAAAAAAAATTGCAACACCCACCGTTTTTTATTTTCTAGGGCCTCTGCTGTAAAAAAAAAATAACGTTTTTGGGGGTTCTAAGTAATTTTCTAGCAAAAAAATACAGATTTTCACGAGTGACAGAAATGTAAGAATTGGCCCGGTAGGCAAGCAGTTAAGTCCTGGGTCACACCAGGGGCTGGGGTCGTGATTAGAAGTCATTGGTGGATTTCAAGTGTATATCTGAAACTACTTCTTTTTTTTCTTCTTTTTTTAATATATAATGTTTTGCTTGTTTTTGTTTTGTTCACCTGCTTTAAACTATTAAAATCCTGAATTAGCATCCCTCCTCATTTGCATATGATGTCATTGGCGTGATACCCAGAGGATACAGAAAGCAAAAGGCAGGATAAAATTAGTTTGTGGTTAGCAGTTACATTTAAAAATGTTAATTCCCAGTGACAGGTCATGTTTAATAATGGCCTCCAGCAGTCATGTCTTATAGGAACATCCTCTCCTACTATTGTCAATGTCACAGTACGGACCCGGCGTCATCTGTACTCAGTGCAAGAAACAGGCGAAAATCCATGGATGCAAATGACATAAGGACAGCGTCCTTTTCCCCCAACAATGAAGGGACATAAACTACGGCTTTAATATTTTAGAACTAAACAGTGTTTGCCTGAGATGCAGGCTGGGAGGGAGACACAAGGGGCTGTATATCACTGCAGCATGTATTATGTATTATTGATGGGGTATAGAGGATGTCCTGGTTTTTATCTCAGCCAGATTCCAACAGAAAATGATGCTAATGGCTTTTTTTTTGTTTTTTCTTTTAAACTCCAGCTAGATGTAAAAGACCTCCATTAATGCACTTCTGTAGCCCTTAAAGCTGTGGTCTCCAAACTGCGGCCCGAGGGCTAGATGTGGCCCATTGCTTGCTTTATCTGGCCCTTGGGGCACTATTTCATCCACTGATACCAACAATGGAGCACAGTTCCCCCCATTGACACCATTGATGGGGCACAATTCCTCCCAATGACACCAACGATGGGGCACAATTTCTCCCAATGACACCAACAATGGGGCCCACTGACACCAATGATGGGGCATAATTCCCCCTACTGACACAAATTATGGGATGCTATTCCTCCATATGACATCAATTATAGGGCACAATTTCTCCCAATGACACCAATGACGGGTCACAATGTCTCCCACTGACACCAACAATGGGGCCCATTGACACCGCTGATGGGGCACAATTCCTCTCATTGACACCAACGATGTGGCACAATTCCTCCCAATGATGGGTCACAATGTCTCCTAATGAGACCAACAATGGGGCCCATTGACACCGCTGATGTGGCACAGTTCCTCCCAATGACGGGTCACAATGTCTCCTAATGAGACCAACAATGGGCTCCATTGACACCGCTGATGGGGCACAATTCCTCTCATGGACACCAACGATGTGGCACAATTCCTCCCAATGATGGGTCACAATGTCTCTTAATGAGACCAACAATGGGGCCCATTGACACCGCTGATGTGGCACAATTCCTCCCAATGACGGGGCATAATGTCTCCTAATAAGACCAACAATGGGGCCCATTGACACCGCTGATGTGGCACAATTCCTCCCAATGATGGGGCACAATGTCTCCTAATAAGATCAACAATGGGGCCCATTGACACCGCTGATGGGACACAATTCCTCTCATGGACACCAACGATGTGGCACAATTCCAGTCCTCCGAAAGTCTGAAGGACCATAAACGTGCCCTTTGTCTACAAAGTTTGGAGACCTCCTGCCTTAAAGTGTCACTAACCTCTGTTCAAGTCTGTATTCTTAACTCAGAAAAGTCCCTTCTATTGCTCTCAGTCTTCTCCAGTTTTGGGGGGTATTTTTGCTGCTGTGATCCCACCTCTTGTTAGGGTGGCTATGTTCGTTCTCCATTGTCTTATTGTATGTAGAACATAGCCACCCTCTCTTGCCCACTCCCAGGATGGACTCTGGGCTTTGCAGTGTGCATAGAGCAGTGCACATGACCGTACACTGCTAGTTGAAAATGTTTTGAGCAATGACGAGCGCTTCTTCTGAAGATTGGAAGGGCTCCTTATAGCGCCTTAGGGTACCCTTCCTTCTCCAAGGGCTGGATCATGCCATATATTGGCATACTACGGGCTCGTTTATACATGTGCTGCCCTCTGATGAGCAATTTGTGATGGATTGCTTTTCAGAGGGCATTTCTCAGCAGGTGCAGATACATTATGTCACCTCCTCCCTGACCTCTGACCTCTGTCTGGACAGTGCTGATTGGTCCTGTGCTGATCACATGCACTCTCCCACGAAAAAAAAAAACCTCTAGCAATACACAGCAAACTAACATGTGCAGAGTGTCTCCACACGATATGTCTTCTCACAATGCGGAGGATTAACCCCTTAGGTTCCACAGTGAGTATAACAAGCATGCTTTACTGCATATACAGACTGATTTTACTGTTGTGGGTTTAAGACACAGCAAAGCGATTTCAGTTTACACTGTTCAGACATAGTTGTCACTATGGGGGAGATTTACTAAAACTGGAGCACTCAAAATCTGGTGCAGCTGTGCATAGTAACCAATCAGCTTCTAGCTTCAGCTTGTTCAGTTAAGCTTTGACAGTAAAACCTGCAAGCTGATTGGTTACCATGCACAACTGCACCAGATTCTGTGTGCTCCAGTTTTAGTAAATCTCCCCCTACCGGTTATGGCTATTTTGTTTTTTTTTGTTTTTTGCTTCATCAAATTAAACTACATGTAGACGTATAGACAAATGACCGATAACATTTCACCATACTATCCCATCTGTGTTTCTTCTATCCCGCAG